TGACAGAACCTGTGAGTGGTAGCATGATCTCGCCGTTGGTGGGCAGCACCAATTCCCTCAGTGTAGTGCTGCCATCTCTGAACTGTACTGCAGACTCAAGCTGACTGGGAAAAATGACTCGGTCGGTCGAACAGGGTAACCGTGCGAGATCCCAGTTGTTTGCATTGTCGTAGTTCGTGTTAGGAGTCCAGGTCTTGGTCACAGCAACAATGCAGTGAACTACGTAAACAGAAACAAGAAGCGAACACGTGCTCTTGGTGACATGTGAAAACTTATTGACACAAACGCATAAAAAGGTACTTCAGTCAAAAATTGAATCTGTGGCTGACCATTTGAGAGTACGGACACTTCGGTCTTGAAACAAGACTTAACCTCTGAGACAGACGAGGACTTCACGATGGCCGGTGCTACCGACGAACATTATTTTTGGACGTCCAATATTATCGAGTATTTTATGATGATTAAATGAAGGAGGCACTTACCGCAAATGGCGCAGAAGACCACAGAGCTCTTCAGCGCGTTCATCTCGCGTCGCGACTGTCGACAGCTGAATGTCGAGCCTTTAAGGAAACCGAATATGATCGGGGGGTGGAACTGCCTGATAATTCTGCCAGTAAAGTGAGATGGTGCGACGCCAGAAAGGGTTCTGTGAGGCTACCTTAGAAGTGCTTGCAAAGCCTACCTAATGGTAGCAGCACTTGCAAAGTAGAACGTCATGTTTCGTCGTGGTTATGCCGTGTACCAGACAAACCCAGTCCACATTCTCATATCCGGAATTCATTGAAATTGACTTTAATGTCGCCGCCATCTTGAAGTGTGGTCACTGCAGGACGACTTTTATTCTGTGGAAGTTGGAGCTTTAATCTCTTTTGGAAGAAGCTTCTTTTCACTACCATAACATTAGAAAATAAATCAATTTGTTTACGTAGTAGTTGTAGATGAAGACGTGCCGTGTGTTGTGAGACTCTTGGAGTGCACATGATTAACTAATACAGGACAAAACACATGGAAATTGTTGCAGTGTTAGGAGAGAAAATTCATTTGCAGAAAACATCTGTTTTTATTCACATAATACAACGATTAACATGTCTATAAAAGCTGAGACGGCCCTCGTGGCGAAAATATTCTTCACATGTGGCCTATTTTAATTTAAGTGCGTAACGTTCTGTAAAGCTGAGGTCAGGGTTCGTGGAGTACGTGGAGTGGCTCTGGTTGTCGCCATGACTACGACTGAGATTGTTATTCATACGCCGAATTTTATTGGAATAGTAAGCTGGGTTAACATGCAGAACATGGACGTGCCATGTATGAAGAACGAAGGCAATAATTTGACCCCAAGGGATGAAATGGCTTTCTGAAGACTGTAACTGAGTAAGAAGGTAAATATACGGTGGCGCTGTGATGTCAACAAAACAGTAGATGGTTAGACGGCGTACACGATGGCGAGGATGGTGAAGAGCAGACAGTAGACGAGGAAGGCGATCCTGTCTATGGCGGCTGCCAGCACCACCCAGTCATGTTGCGACGAAACGCGAGCCCGCTGAGGTGTGATCATCTGCCGATCGTCGCTGCTGTTAACCATGTGATCGTGGTCGTCGAATGCGACGGCCTGCTGGTCTCTCAGCTCCTCGGCGTTTGCAGACGACATGTTGTGACGCATGGACGACGCCTGCAACGACAGGTTTGTGGGTACAGGGCAAAGAGAAACGATCCTGCCCTAACCGGGAATAGAACGCCGGTCGTCAACTTGGTATCTCGCGGTCTGGAGGGCCCGGCTGCGTGATTTGAGGCACGTCAGACACCCGGATGTGTGCAGACGACACGAAACTCCTATAAATGCGCCCAAGTTCTCTCAGCTTCGGTCCCGAAGCGCGCAAGAAAAAGTGCTGAAGTTAATTGAATTTATTGAAGGCAATGCTATTTGCCACCTGCTACGACATTTTCCTTCGTGAACTCTAAAACAGGAGCCATCCGACTCTGTCCTGGCCCATATTAATCCAATCTACAACGAGATTTTTTTTAATATTATCACAAATAACGGAATATTTAAAACGGCTAGAGATCCTGCTTCCGACGTCGTCAGGCGAGGCAAATTACAACGAGCGCTGCGTGGTCCATGAACACAAAACGCATCTAAAGATTCCGTGTTATCGAAGAGTGCAAGGACAACAGGAAGTAAGTCAGCGTCGCTATCGCCCGCTTCCTGACAGATAGGCAGGCAGCAGGCAGCAGGCAGCAGGCTAGCGCAGCGAGAGCAGTGGCCATCGCGTCTCACTGTACCTGGTCGACGAGGTACCCCAGGCACAGCACCTGACCCATCCAGCCGGTCAGCAGGTTCTTGATCAGCCAGGGCAGCGGGGTGGCGTGGTGGTTGCAAGCCAGGTTCACCACTACCACGGACAGAATGGTGGCGACGCAGACCATGTAGAGACTGCTGCTGTAGAAGAGCACTGCAAGCGACGCAGAACGAAAAGATCTCGTATTTCCTTATGAAACGTCTA